CACCACTGATGTCTTGTGGTCTTCACAGATTTTCTGGATCAAAATGAGGTAAGTGCTCTTGAACACGAGGTTTAATACTCCATATGCATACACAAGAGCTTCATCATTGAAGTTCTGAAGCCCTAAGCAGGAACAAATTAGAACAATTCATGTTTAGAAAGCTGAATAAAGTAAATAGTTACTTTTCCTTTACCCTTTCACATTCCTCAAAACAAATCCATTTTTCAACCAAATTCTGATTTGGCAGTTGTCAGTGGCAGTGTGCATTTGGGTCATACTAAGAATGCAATAAAGGCAAATGTAAAATGCTGAACATTTTTAGGTAATTGGGTGACCCATAGTTTGTGAACAGTATTGACATAACTAAGATTGACCTTGATAAGAACTTAAGATTCTTGGACATGCTACTAATTGTGTCCTACTAATGTTGGGCAGCTCCCAACAAAGCTAATTAAATGTTAACCAGAGCAATTCAATTTGGAGGAAGTCATGATCGAATTACGTAGTGCTGTGATATATCAGCATCTTGAGAATGTGACTGGGACTGGATACGTTTCTTTGTGGAAAGGAGATGTAGAGAAGGGCCACCTTTGATCTCAATCGTAAGAGACTGACTTGCAACAAGTAAGTGGAGAAGCCAGGGCTCTAGCTTTACGATGAGGTGATCTTCCAGAAAGTATTGACAACAACTGAAATAATAGATAAGGTATGCAAGCAAAAATAGAACTGAGAAGGTGCTCCTTTTGCACAGAGTGATCGGTCCAGAAACATCAGTTTCTCGGGCTCTCGAATAAAAGACCACGCATGGACCAATAAATTGGATACTGCGATGGGTGGTGTTGGGTGCTCAATCTGGATGGATGAACCAAGGCAAACCAATTAGCCTTCCTCATCCATAATTATGTTGTTATCGATATTTCTTGATATCCCACACAGCTATATTCTTTGACAATATCCTTTTTGATCAATTTTCCACATTTTCTGGGAGGGAGAAGTTAGGCTACTGTGGAATACCCTTAGTGAGACAGGGTTCATTGTTACACGTCTTGCTAAAAGAGGTTCAGTATCCTTTCAAATCACTGGCATGAGACAAAGGGAGATTTGGTATTTGCCACAAAGGACAGAATATTATCCCTTTTATTGCCCTCAACTGGTCAAACAAACTAGTGGAATTTAACCCACGTGGCTAATGATTAGCAATATTTTTTGAGTTACCGTTATTAAAACTGGGAAGATGTAACTTTAGGTCCAAAGGCAATTTTAAGCAGAGATTAAAAAAAATTGCAAATGCTGGTTGACGTTTGTAAATTTGTTTACCGGTTCTTTAACAAGACTGGCGAGAGAGGTCATTGCTAAATTGTAACAAAGACTTAAATGTTAATGTGTCTTCTCCCTTGCATGTGGTCTTTATCTGCCAGTATTTTTTGTTTGTATTTCACTTTTTCACAATGCTTACAATAGTCCCTTTAAAGATTAAAGATACACCATAGCATGAGTGATGAGTGATAAATCAATGAAAAGGCAAGTTCTAGCAGATTCTTGAGGGAGAGGAATGTTGGTGTTATGGAAGGGCACTCCCGTATACAACGGCACAAAGACCAAAACCTTATTACTGAGGATGGGACAGAAGGAAAATGGGAGCATAACTGACTCAAAAGCACAGACCATAGAGTGTGGCTAGAAAATGGTGTAGAGGTAGGATATAAATTAGATGGTCATTTTTGAAATTACAGACTTGTATTTTAAAAAGTTTTATATAGCAAAAGCTAATTGGCAATGAATAACTTTGAAAAACAGTGGTGTACAAAGCTAGCTCGAAGTAGGATAGCTTATTCTTCATTAAATCTTACCTGCAAGAACTGAGCACAAAGTGACCAGCAGTACCAAGAAAGTAGTGTTGGAGGATGTTCTTTTCTTCAAGTTGAATATTTCCATCAACACCAAGGTGGCCAAGGGTGTAAACTGTCTGATGAAATTGAAACCTATAGAGTTGGAGCTGGTCACAGCCCACAGGGTTAGAAGTGAATGAAAACTAAAACAAATAGAAGGAAGCAGGAAAGTCTCTCCACTCTCCAATGAGTAAGGCTGGATCTTTAACAGTCTGGCTTGGCTCAACAATTGCAACACCACAATGGTCAACAAAGCCTAACAAAACATAACACAATGAAACAGTACTGTGTAGAGGAACTTGTATTTACATGCACAGAAAGTCTGAGAATTTTACATACAATAGATTCCTTAAAAATGCAATGACTGTGAAGCACAATAAGTAGCTGTTTAATGCAGAGCGAGATCCCACAAATGACAATTAGATTAGTTGACAGCTGATCTGCTTATCTTAGTGTTGTTTGAGGAAAGAAAATGGGACAGGTCATTAGGATGTTAGATATTTTTTCTTGAACCTGTTTAGAGATGTTATTGTACACCTCTTGAGCAGGTGGGACTTGTAGACAGGCCTCCTAGCTCAGAGGTAGGGACAGTACCACTGCACAGTACCACAAGAATTCTGCACGAAGAGGCTAACTGCTCTTCAATTAATGTTTTTGACTTCCCGTTGAAAGGCATTCAAGCACTCGTTTTCACTCTTCTCAGTTTAACTCCATACTGCACTGAACCGGTCACTCATTTTGTGAAGACTTAATTCTATAAGGGAGTTCAAACCTCATTACTGCACCACTCAGCAAAATGTTTGAAATGTTTACTAAAGAGCCACCATTCCTCTGAATCAAAATAGCATTCAAGTTCTTTTACAGTCATAAAGCACAGAAACAGACCCTTTAGTCCAACTCATCCATGCTGACCAAGTTGCCCAAACTAAATTAATCCCGTTTGCCTGCGTTAGGCCCTTTTAAATGTTTCCTACTTGTGCACCTGTCTTGTAAATTTGTAACTCTACCTGAAGTTCATTCCACATATGAACCACCCTCTGTGTGAAAATGTTGTTCCTCAGGTCCCTTCTAAATCTTTCTCCTCTCACCTCAAATACATGCCCTCTAGTTTTGAATTCCCCATTCCTAGGTAAAAGACATTTGCTCTTCACCTTATCTATGCCTCTCCCGATTTCATAAACCTCTATAAGGTCACCCCTCAATCTCCTACATTCCAGTGAAAGAAGTCCCAGCCTCTCTGGCCTCTCCTTAAACTCAAACCGTCCAGTCCTGGCAATATCCTGATAAATCTTTTCTGTACCCTTTCCAGCTTAATATACTTCCTACAGCAGGGTGACCAGACAGTACTCCAAAAGATGCCTCACCAACATCCTGTACAACCATAATATGATGTCCTAATTCCAATAATCAATGGTCTGAGTAATGAAGGCAAGTATGCTAAACACCTTCTTAACCAGCCTGTCTACCTGTGGCATAACTTTCAGAGAGCAATGTACAGAAAACCCTAGATCTCTCTATTTGACAACACTACCCAGAAGACTCAGACATGTGCTCATCACTGTAAGTAAGATGTGCTTCTTAGGGACCTCCTTGGGTTCAAGGATGACTTAGTTCCACTGAAAATCAATGGGTTCTGAGCTGGCCAGTAAGTCCAATGCATGATCCACAGACTCTGCCACACGTGGGGCAGCTGGTGCTTGCCAGCTTGGGTGGGTGCATTGTTTGGATGTTTGTGTGCTTCTTTCAATGACCCCAGCCTCACCTCTTCACGTTGTCTCAGTGCAGTTGCTGCCTCCTGAATGAGCCTGGTCTATTTATGTTGGTCACAAGTCAGTGTAACCCAGGAACTGGGGGTAATATTCGATCTCTTCAGTGCTGTCTTCAGAACATCCCGAAAGTGTTGCTGCTATCCTCCTAGGAGTCTCCTGCCACAAGCCAGCCCCTGGATAGAGCAACTCATTCCCAGCACCATACAGCACTACTTACACAATTGGCACACGAACATTAGAAGGTGTGTAAGAACCAAGACCCCTGTCACTGGCTTCTCTGGCCATGGTTCAGAGGAATCTCACACACCACCGTGGATTATTTTCACCACATTGCCTCCAGCAGGTTGAAGAAATCTTCCCAAAGGCATTATGGGATGGGGCAATAAACTCGGGGCAATAAACTCTGGCCTCGCCAGAGACGCCAACATCATAGCAGTGGATAAAAGGAAAGCTAAAAGCCAAAATGAAACAAAACTGCCACCAACTTCAGGATACAAGCAGGGACGTTCTTCCCTGACTCCAAAAGATGATGAAGGCGTGAAACACCACTAAAACATCTACCAACCTTGTAAAAAAAGAACAGCTTGACCTATTTATCCCCATTAATCCAGTATTAAGTCAATAGAAGCCCCACGATAAAGACCAGAAGGGTAAAAATTCAGGACTATGGAGTAAAAAGCAAGGCAGTAGAATTAATCCAGAGACCCTATCGAAAAGCCAGCGCAGGTATACTGGGCAGCGTGGTCTCCTCCTGTGCGTTACAGTTTGATGATACTCTGTTAAGGAGGAGGGATGTGGAATTCAGTCCCAATTCTTATCAATAATGAAAGCAGAGATGAAACTACAGGTCACAGAGCGCAGTTCCCCTTGCTCTCCTAACCTGGCAGAGGGCGATGAAAGCAGGGAAGCCGAAGCGGTACTGGTTGATGAAGACGCCATTGAAGAACTCGGAGCAGCCGGAGCACAATGTGTAACCAGCCCAGGGGCCCAACAACCAAGATCCGCACAGGAGCCAGCTGCTAGCAGAGTTCTGTACAGGGACTGCCGCTACCATCCTGGGGAAGACCAACTGGTGTGCAATTAAAAATTAACTTCAAACTCATTTATAATGCAGCAGCAAAGAGGCAGCCTGCACTATCTGCACAGAACTTTAACCCCACTGCAGTCAATAATCTACAGGCTACCGATCAACACTTAATAAAAAATAAGAAAAAATGCTCAAAGCACCCAATTCTGTCAAAGTCAGTTAACACTGAGTGTGGCCTTGTCACAAAGCTATAAATACTTGAAAGAAAGGGGAAGAATTTAATTTTATATCGTGCCTTTAACAACTTCAGTAGGTCACAATTTGTCTATCCTTTTGGCATTTTCTACATGACAACAGTAACCACATTTCGTTTGGTGTGAAGCACTTTGTAATAGACAAATGCAGGCTCATGCTTGGTTCAGATGCTGACGAGTCTGCTTTGTACTTGCAGAACCTTCTTAATTTCCTTGGGGGAGTGTTGCATTGGTAGGGCCATAGTAAATGTGAGTTTGGATCGTAATTTAACCATCACTTGATATTGTTTTCGTAAGCTGGAGAGTTTAATGACAAAACTCAAAACTCTTAGCATAAGATATAGATAACTTGGTTCAGTTGAATCTCTTAATCAATATAAAGAGTGTAGGGGCGTTCTTAAGAAAGAAATCCAGAAGGCAAAGAGGGGATATGAAATATCATTGGCAGATAAGGTTAGGGATAATCCAAAGAGATTCTACAAATACATTAAGAGCAAGAGGATAACTAGAGAGAGGTTTAGGCCCCTTAAAGATCAAGGAGGTCATGTTTGTGTTGAATCCCAGGAGATGAGAGAGATACTAAATGAATATTTCATGCCAGTTTTTACAATGGGGAAGGAAATGGAGTCTAGAAAATGCAGAGAAATAAACTTGAAGTTTTAAAAACAGTTCACATTACAGAAGAGGAAGTTTGGAGGTCTTAGAGAATATAAAGGTGGATAAACCTCCGGGACCTGATCTAATGTATCCCAAAATGTTGCGGTAAGCAAGGGAGGAAATTGTGAGACCACTTGCAGAAATATTTGCAGCATCCATAACTACAGGTGAGGTGCCTGATGACTGGAGGGTGGCTAATGTTGTACCTTTGTTTAAGAAAGGTTGTAAAGAGAAATTGGGGAACGATAGACCTGTGAGTCTGACTTTGGTCGTGGGGCAGGCACCAGAGGTGATTATAACGGATAGGATTTATGGACATTTAGAGAGGCAAAAATTGATTAGGGACAGTCAGCATGGTTTTGTGCGAGGAAAATCATGCCTCATAAACTTGATTGAGTTTTTTTGAGGAAGTTACCAAAAATATTGATGGCAGAGTAGTAGATGTTGTTTATTTGGATTTTAGTAAAGTCTTCGACAAGTTTCTGCATGGTAGACTAATTGGTAAAGTTAGGTCACATGGGATTGAGGGGGAGCTTGCCAATTGGATACATAATTGGCTTAACAGCAGGAGACAGAGAGTAATGGTGGAGGGTTGCTTTTCAGACTGGAGGCCTGTGACCAGCGGTGTTCCACAGGGATTGGTTCTGGGTCCTCTTGTTTGTCATTTATATAAATGATTTGGATGAGAATATAGAAGGCATGGTTAGTAAGTTTGCAGATAACACCGAATTTGGTGGCATTGTAGACAGTAAAGAAAGTTTGCTAACATTACAAAGAGATCTTGATCAAATGGATCAATGGGCTGATAAATGGCAGATTGAGTTCAAGCTGGATAAACGTGAGGTATTGTATTTTGGTACAACAAACAAGGGTAGGGCTTATACAATTAATGGTATGGCCTTGGGTAGTGTTGTGGAACTGAGGCACCAGGGGGTGCAGACACATAATTCTTTGAAGTTTGTATCACATATAGACAGGATGGTTAAAAAGGCATTTGGCACGCTTGCCTTCATTGTTCATTCCTTTGAGTATAGGAGTTGGAACGTCATGTTGCGGTTGTACAGGACATTGGTGAGGCCTCTTCTGGAATACTGTGTCCAGTTCTGGTCGCCTAGTTATAGGAAGAATATTATAAAGCTGGAGAGGGTTCAGAAGAGATTTACCAGGATGTTGCCGGATATGGAAGGTTTGAGTTATAAAGAAAGGCTGGACAGGCTGGGACTTGTTTCACTGGAGTGCGAGGTTGAGAGGTGACCTGATAGAAGTTTATAAAATAATGAGGGGTATAGATAGAGTTAATGGTAGTTGCCTTTTCCCTAGGATGGGGAATTTCAAGACTAGGAGGCACATTTTTAAGGTGAGAGGAGAGAGATTTTAAACATACATGAGAGGCAATTTTTTTTACACAGAGGATGGTTTACATATAGAATGAACTTCCTGAGGAAGTGATGGATGTGGGCACAGTTACAACGTTTAAAAGATGTACATGATTGGGAAAGGTTTGGAGGGATATGGGCCAGGAGCAGGCAGGTAGGACTAGTTTAGTTTGGGATTATGTTCAGCATGGACTGGTTAGACCAAAGGGGCTGTTTCAATGCTGTATAACTCCACAACTCTATAAGCTGGGAGGATGCAGGGAGGATGGTATGAGTTGGGGTGGGAGTTGGTGGCAGCCATTTAGAATTGAGGTGAGGAGAAAGGTCTTCAACCTATTGTGAATTTTTGAAATTCTTCACACCAGCAAGCTGTGGCTTATTGAAAGAAGAACAGAAATTGCTGGAGAAACTCAGCAGGACTAGCAGTATCTGTGGACAGAAAAACTGAACCAACATTTCAAGTCCAGTTAACTACCATCTGTTCTGAAGAAGAGTCACTGGACTCGAAACGTTAACTCTGTTTTTCTCTGTACAGATGCTGTCAGACCTGCTGAGTTTCTCCAGCAATTTCTTCTTTTGTTTAAGATCTCCAGCATTTGTAATTCTTTGTTTTGTTTTTGCGGCTGATTGAATCTATTCAAGGTAGAGAAAAGGTGTTTAGATCCTTAGGAATATGGGTATTTTAAGCCTCAAATGGAGTAGGGGTTAAGGATCAGCCATGATCTTGTTGAACAGAGGTCCAGGATCAAGGACAGCTCTGGGCAGTGGTTTCCAGAGCTGGTAGCCATAGAGATCCACAGGTCAATCTGACTGCAGGAGAGAACTGTGTTAGATATATTGGAGAGTCTGAATAAAGTCAGTATCAAGCCAAGCTTCAAGTCAATCTAGTATCACCTTGGACTTCTTAAGCTTATCCAGGGTTTATTATTGAGGCTGTAATTAATAGGGCAGAACTCCACTATGTTAAGGCGAACATGAAATAATAAAAGGAGAAACTGCATTAAAACATGCAGCCCATTTGGTGGCATCTGTGGAGAAAGCAAAACAGATAATATTTCAAGTTAATAATCTTTCTTCAGAACTGGAAGTACCTAGAGATTTATACACCCTTTTTTCCCCAGCATTGAGCTTGATTACAAACAATCTTTACTGACCTGCAAGATAAGCTCTGTTTTTCTTTCCTGATCTTTCCAGATGCTGCCAGACTAATTCTGTGCTTCTGACCTTTTCTATTCATATTTTAGTTTTCCGATATCCAGTCATTTGTTTTTATCGAGTGCGTAGAACTCAAAATAAAAAGTGAAAAGTGCTGGAAATACTCAGCAGATTGAGCAGCATTGGTGCAGAGAAAGAATGAGTTAATGTTTCAGTTCAATGAACTTTTGTTATTAGATTAATAGTTTTTACCAAATACGAGACCAGGGCAAAAAGATCAAGAGAAGTGTGTGATAAGGTAGAAGGTAGGAGAGATTAAATTGCACAAATGATGATGAATGTATGGTAATTAGAGATGATAATGAGACAAGGAAACAAAAGACAGGTCCACAGGAGCTTCGAAACAAACAAAAACAGAAATTGCTGGAGAAACTCAGCAGGTCTCGCAGCATCTGCAGAGAGAAAACAGAGTTAACATTTTGAGTCCAGTGACTCTGCTTCAGAACTAAGAGGTGTAACTGGATACATCAGAATATGCAGAGCTTAGCCTTACCTGGGAGTGTTAAATGATGAGATAAACAATGTGCTGTTTACAAACCACTACAGCTAGATCAACAGCTACATTATGGTACACACTTTGGGAACTCCATTGTAGAAAGGACACTGGGACCTAAGGAAATCTGTGAGGGTTTTTTTTTAGAAAAATTACTTTGATGGATATGACTATCATTGGTATTTTTTGCCCAACCTAATTGAGCTTAAAAGTGTTAGGTCATTTCCAAGAACAGTTAATGGTCTGAATGCTTCAGAGATAGTAGGAACTGCAGATGCTGGAGAATCTGAGATAACAAGGTGTAGAGCTGGATGAACACAGCAGGCCAAGCAGCATCAGAGGAGCAGGAAGGCTGACGTTTCAGGCCTAGACCCTTCTTCAGAAATTCTT